CTTGCCGCCTCGTCGGCCCCGCTCGCCATGGCGCTGCGCGGCTCAGGCCCGGCCCTTGGCAATGCGGACGTCAGCGCGTCGTGTTTGGCTGCTGCCCGTCTTCACGCGCTGGCGATGCAGGGCACGTTCTCTCCCTGCAGCCCACCGACTTCTTGTCGGTCATGGACGGCCCTTTCGTTTGAGGCCGCGCCTCAAGCTACGGTGCCACCTGGTCGTGGATTGGACTACCACCCCGGGCATCCCCCGTATCATCCGGTGGCACAACGTTGCTCATCGCCTTCGTGGTGCTCTTCTTCCTCCTGGGCGTCGACCTGGTCAATTGGCGCGTCCTCCCCTGCAGTGTTTGAGGCTGGTGTTCGCGATGTGCCGTTGACGGCAACACCATTTCCTTCGACTTCCGGATCTTCGCCCTCGGTCCCTGTCCGCGGCGTACCTTTTCCTGCGCATCCACTTCGGCGCCGCCTGCACCCCGGGCCCCGCCCGCTCGGGCCGCCTGGGGCCCCGCCTTCCTGTGCCCTGTCTCCCTAATTATAGCTGTGCGTAGCCCGCCTAGCTTTTCGCGGAAGAGGTTCGCTCTCGCCCCGCAGATCAAACATATTGTGTCCTCGGGAGCGCGCATCCGTCTTTTGCGATGGATCGTGGCCTCGGCAAGGGGGGGATGCACGCGACAGTCTGTTGGTAGAAGGGGGGGGCCGCTCAGTAGAATACATATCAGGAGATAAAACAAAAAACACAAACACAAGTAATCGTCGACTTTCAGGAAAATATTGGAACATCTGAGAAGTGGGGGGGGGGATACATCAACCCATCACATATTGGAACAGATTGGAAATCTTGCTTCTTGCGTCTCTTTATTTACTTGTGTGTCCCAGGGCCCCTTCAACATAATCCCTACAGGGCAGCTCCTGGCATGATGGAAAGAACGCTAGCGAGAGAAGTTCTGTACAGGGCTTTAACCTCACTGGGGTGTCCGGGTGGGGCATGGCGCGCCGCGATTTCTAACGCGCCCTCCTGCGCCATGAAGGCTGATTTTTTGGTTTTGGATGCCTCAAGACGGCTCAAGAGGCCTCCAAGACGGCCAACGATGCCCCCCAGACGGCCTCAGAGAGAAGGACCCAAAGACGGTCCAAGAAAGCTCCCATTGTGCTCCTGATGGGCGCGTCACGGCCCAAGAGGTCTTTCAGACGCCCCAGAAGGCACCCAAGAGGACCCCCCAAAGGGGCATAGGAGGACAACACCATTTATTGTCCTTAAGCTTTTGTTCGTTTTTAGGGTTGTCGCCTTTCGGTCTTCCGGCCCACGGCGGCCCAACAGGCCCCAAATATCCCCCGACGACGGCCCAAGAGGCCCCCAAGAAGGCCCCTAGAGGGCCCAAGAGAACCCCAAGACGACCCATGGGGGCCCAAGAGGGGCCCAGAGGGGCCCCAGAGTCTCCCATGAGAGCCCCAAGAGGGCCCAAGAGGTCGCCAAAAGGGCCGAAGAGGGCCCCGAGAGGGCCGAAGACGGTCCAAACTCCCAAAGAAGGCCAAGGAAGCTTCCGGGACGCCCCAAGAGCCTCCCCAGAGAGCACCCCCAGACGGCCTTAGAAGGCAAGCGACATTGATTTTCCGTATGTTTTCCATTGTTTTTTGGGTGTGCGCCTCTTTTGGCCCAGCTCGGCGGAAGACGGCTCCGAGCGCGCCCGAGATTGTTTCAAGACGGCCAGGGAGGCTCCCAGGAGGGCCCGAGGACGGCCGAAGAGGCACCCGGGACGACCCTGGAGAGCCCCAGGAAAGGTGAAGGAGGTCCCAAGAGGCCCCTAAGAGGAACCCCGAGACGGACGGCCTGAGGAGGCAAAGCGCACTGATTTACATGTGTGTTTCTATTGGTTTTGGGGTTCCCGCCTTTCCTTGCCCACGTCGGCCGAAGTCTGCTCCGAGGGCCTCCGAGGCTGACCCAGGACGGTCCAGGAGGCTCCCAAGATAGCCCCAAGACGGCACAAGAGGGCCCCAGGACGGCCACAAAGAGCCGCAAGGCAGCTTAGGGGGGTCCAAGAGGGGCCCAAGAGGCTCCCACGAGAGCCCCAAGAGTGCCGTAGGAGGCCCTGAGAGGGGAGTGCCGTAGGAGGCCCCAAGAGGGCCACCCAAAATAGCCCCAGAGGACCCCCTCCTAGACGGCCCAATGACGGACGCAGCTTTGACGCCAAGGCTCCCCAGAGCACCAGGTGACCAGGACGCCTTTTTCACACGAGTCGGTGACATACATATTTTTGAATGCCAATGGTCCCAACAGCGAGCAGTGGGGCAGAGAGTTCTGAACACCGAAGCTCCGAAGGGCGAGTGGTGGCGTGAACAGCTCTAACCGCCAAGGCTCCCAAGAGCGAGCGGTGACGAAAGCAGCTCTTCACTCCAAGGCTCCTCCCAAGAGCGAACGGCGACGCGCACGAAGACGTGAAGAGGCTCTAACCGCCAAGGCTCCCAAGAGCGAGCGGCGACGTGAAGAGGCTCTTCGGTGCCGCGAGCTCTCTCGGGCAGGCGCCCGAAGCGCTCTCTCCGCTCCCGTGCCGGCCCAGGCTCTACCCCGCCGGATCGTCGACCCAGGCGTGCGACGTCCTGACTTTTTCGGGGCGGCGTCCCTGGAAGTCCCGACCCGTTCCCCGGGACCGGTTTTCCGTCCCGAGCTGTTTTTTGACGGTCCCGGGGCCCGGCGAGGGCCCCCTGGAGCCGTTTTTTTTTTTTGTCCCCCCCCTAATTTTATGACGCGGTCCGGTCTGGGATGTATTAATCGCCGATCCCAGGCGGCGTTGCCCCTCCCCCTCCCCCCCGGAAGCTGGTGCCCCCCCCCCCCCACGTTCGGGCGTTGGCAGAACTGGGTTTCGTGGGACCTGGTTTAGGGATGTGCACCGGGGGGCGCCCCCCGGGCTTAAGTCGGGCCTGTCCCCCTACAGGGGGATTTTCGACGAAAAACAAGTGGCACGTGTGCCATGGCTCTTGCACACAAAGGAAGGGGGAGGAGGAGGATGTGGAGGAGGAGGGGGGGGGGGGGGGATGCCAGACATCGCAGAAGGAGTTAACAAAACAGGGCCGCAAGAGGGGCTCCAGAGGGCGAGCGCGAGGAGACTCCAAGGGCCGTCCCCCGCAAGATGGCTTCAAAGACCTTTGACGGGTCCCAGGAAGCCTCCAACTGACGCCCGAGAAGCCTACAGAGGGTTCCAAGGGGAGGCCTCCAGGGTCCAAGGAGGGCTGGAAGAAATTACTGAGCGGACTCAGCTGCTGGGGGCTCGCGGTGCAAAGTGCGCGGCGGCCTTGTGTTGCGAACGCTTGTCCAAGGCAGTCGCTTTGCACGCAGAGTCTGTCTGCG